TTAGCATTGGTTTATCTGTTGTTCTATATAGCAGTGGTTCATCTGTTATATAGCATTGGTTTATCTGTTGTTCTATATAGCATTGGTTCATCTGTTATATAGCATTGATTTATCTGTTGTTCTATATAGTAGTGGTTCATCTGTTATATAGCATTGGTTTATCTGTTGTTCTATATAGCAGTGGTTCATCTGTTATATAGCATTGGTTTATCTGTTGTTCTATATAGCAGTGGTTCATCTGTTATATAGCATTGGTTCATCTGTTGTTCTATATAGCAGTGGTTCATCTGTTATATAGCATTGGTTTATCTGTTGTTCTATATAGCAGTGGTTCATCTGTTATATAGCATTGGTTTATCTGTTGTTCTATATAGTAGTGGTTCATCTGTTATATAGCATTGGTTTATCTGTTGTTCTATATAGCAGTGGTTCGTCTGTTATATAGCATTGGTTCATCTGTTATATAGCATTGGTTTATCTGTTGTTCTATATAGCATTGGTTTATCTGTTATATAACATTGGTTTATCTGTTATATAGTATAGGCGTATTTGAAATATAGTATTAGTAGTATTAGACCTTTCAATATGTTCGCAAAGGGATTCCATGGGGAAAGTGTGAAACATATTGAAAGGTCCCAAAAAACACCTAAACACCCTTCATTTCATACATTCTTACACTGAAAAACACCTTCAATCAATTCCCACTCCAAAAAGCACCTCCACACACTACATTCCATCAATTAACACCTCAAAAAGAACCTATTCACCCTACATTTCATCATTGAATTTGTTAGATTAGAATATTAAAAATACCATGATACAAAATAACTTCCTTGTTTCGCTTATTAATAATGTTAGTTTTAATCTAGAAACTTCTGTAAGAAAGATAAGTCTTGTTTTGGGAAAAAAACAGACCACAATTTCTTCGTTCAATTAACCCATTTAAAAATAGGATGAGTTTAATTCTAAAACACGAACAACACAAATTCGAAGATTATTCGGGCGACGGTATCTTTTCATCAATATTTTCTCTAGGTAAAACAATAATTCCAAAAGTAGCTAGCTTTGTTTCAAACAACAAATCACTTATTTCATCCGAGCTAAAGCCGTCGGCTCAATCGCGGAAGCGGGAAAGAGTATAAGCGACACAGTGAAACAATCTAACGAGTTGAAAGAATTACAACTAATAAGAGATCTGCGAAACAGGAGATTAGAAGAAAGGAAAGATTTTAAAGTTATAGGATAAAAATGATAGTCGCTCACACTCCAAAAACTTATTTTGGTTCCGGAGATATACAAAAGTCATTAGGCTCTCTTCCTGGCTTTCCATGGGCAAAATATCCCGGAGAAAAACATCTTCCCGGTCATAATTACACTGGTCCAGGTACTAGGTTAGATCTGCGATTAGACGAAAACGATAAACCCTAACCGGGTGAAGAACCAGTCAATAGAGTTAATGCCGCTGCGCTTAAACACGACATACTATACAGAAACAAAGACATAAACTTCAGACACGAAGCAGGCAGACAAACGATAATCAAACTTGAAAATATTCCAAATCCAACTTTCAAAGAGAGAATGCAAAGGGCTCTAATCATAAAACTGTTAAAAGCAAAGATGAAATTAGGTATGGGATTGGCAGATGAAATTCATAAAGAATTTAGAAAAACTAAATTCTTTTTAAAAGTTAAAGTATTTGAAAAAGATGAAATATGGTCAGCCGATTTAATTCATATGCCAGTCGAAAGAGGATTTAAATATTGCTTAACAGTTATAGATTTGTATACAAGATATGCTTGAGAAACTAAACAGGATTATCAGTCAAACATGCTTTTGAAACAATCTGGCCGACATCCAGAAAAACTGTGGGTAGATAAAGGAAGCGAATTTTATAATAAAAATATGAAATCACTTGGGTTTGAAATTTACAGTACTCATAATGAGGGAAAAGCTGTAGTAGTAGAAAGATTTAACAGGAAGCTTAAATCAAAACTGTTCAAAAAATTCACAGAACTAAAGTCTCAAAAATGGTTAAAGATTTTACCCACTGTAGTATTGGAATATAATGATAAAATTCTTCCATCGGTGTTTCTCCAATGGAAGCCATTCAAAATCCAGATATTATTAAGTTTTCTTCTGCCCTTAATAATTTTGAAAATGAAATAAATAATTTAAATATTAAACCCAAATTTAAAGTTGGATTTCGGGGAAGGGAGGGTTTGATTCTCCCAAATGTACAGGCCTAGGGTGGAGCAGACACTTTATTTAGAAATTAGGATTAAGGGTCTTGATATTGGGTTTTCTTCTGTTCTTATTCTGATCTGAAATTAGAAAAAATAACTCGCCCGATGGGCGAGAAGTATAATATATGTTATGTACTGATTGATTTTATTTTTCGGGGAAGGGAGGGTTTGATTCTCCCAAATGTACAGGCCTAGGGTGGAGCAGACACTTTATTTAGATTTCGGGGAAGGGAGGGTTTGATTCTCCCAAATGTACAGGCCTAGGGTGGAGCAGACACTTTATTTAGAAATTAGGATTAAGGGTCTTGATATTGGGTTTTCTTCTGTTCTTATTCTGATCTGAAATTAGAAAAAATAACTCGCCCGATGGGTAGTATCTGTTATGTACTGATTGTTTTTAGTTTACTATGAACAATATTATCATTTAAGTTCTTATTTTTTGAATAGGCACTATCATTTTCTGCTTATAGACATGGGGGAATTTCTCTTGCAGGCTCTTATAGTGGGCATGAACTATCTTGCTTGCTCGATTGCTGGTTGTATTAAACGGGACAACAAAGGGTGCTGTGCCTACATTATGATGAATATTTAGTCCTATAGGTCTTGCTGTATTCAATGTCTCAATCCAATGGGCCTCCCTAGATTGAGGGAATTTGGTAGTTTCATCTTCGGGCAAGTCAATTTCTATACGCTCAATTGGGATTAGGGTGAGATCGTCTATTGAATGGTCGTCGAGGTTGAAATGATTAGAAACAGGCTTGTCTTTCTTTAATTTGATGTCTGACCTATGAGCATTAAAACGGGTTCGTAAATTATTCTTAGTTTCTCCTACATATTGTTTGGGGCATTTCTTGCATTTCATGAAATTAAATATAATACATTTGAATGTTCACATGTTAGATGTTCCTGGATCGGGTACCTTTTATTCGTAGGGTTGCTTACAAAATAATGTGTGTCTGATATAAAGGGACATGTTTTGCATCTACTGGACAAACATGGAGCAATTGTTAAACCTGGAGGTACTTCGGCATAAAGTCTGTTTTAGCTGCTATCTGAGCTAAGGTGGAATTTTTTATGTTCCGTAAATATCGTTTAGAGTACCCACGCTCTTTCAGTTTTGAGAAAACAATCGTACAGGCTTGGTTGAAATCAGAAGATCTTGTACAAATTCGATGAAATGAAATGAAATGTATTAAGGAGCATCAGCACCAAATGGGCTATATAGCTCCAGAATACGTTAATATAATAAAAAAAACTAAAACAATAAAACACCTATCAATATCACATAAAGGTCACATAGTGACGACAAAACAGACGATAAAAACCATATCACAGAAAAAGTCATTTAATGACTACAAAAAAAACACTAAAAACAATATCACAGGTAATACACCACATGGTGGTATTAAAAACAAACAAAATATTTAAAACAAACAATAACTAATCTATTTAAAATTTAAAATAAAGACCTGCTTGTTTTAAAAAAAGCCACAACCTTCTCATAAAGAGAAATAAAGAAACAACACGGTAGTGCTGTGATCTTATAGGTTTGAGATGCTTACACTCAATCAGAATGTGTTTCACTGTCAGGCAGATCTGGCAGTGCTCACAGACTGGTTGAGGCTCTCGCTTGAGCAAATAACAGTTGGTGACGTGAGTATGTCCAAGACGAGAGCGACACAAATCAACTTCATTTCTCCTGTTGGCACAATAGGAGGAGGGCCAGTCACCTGGGAGAGGCTTAATGGCATGAAGCTTGTTAGTGTCTGCAGCATCCCATCTTTGCTGCCATCGATGTTGAATAAAAGACCTTATCACCGATTTAAAATTGGTGAAAGGCAAAGGAAAGGGGGAAACAGGCAGTGACAAAGCCGCATCTGCCATGTCATTCCCCCGTATATCCATGTGACTGGGGAGCCAACAAAGAACAATGTCCTTTTTCGGCCCAGAGAACATGTATATATCCCCGATTATTGGGTGTACAAGCTGGATGTTATTAATAGCTTGTAATGAGGACAAAGAATCAAAAAATATAATACATTTTTTTAATGATGTAGAGGACTGAAAAAACTCAAGTGCCTGTAAAATGGTGGTTCTGCAGTAAATATTGGGGCAGTAAGCAGGATGTTGTGGAAATGATGCTATCTTGATAGCGTACTGCAATGAAAGCCTGTCACGTCTGTCGTACAATGAGGGCTCATTAGCCTCGACGTACAGACTTTCAACTGGAGTAGTGCGAAACGCACCTAAACTGATTCTAAGTCCTTGATGGTGTATGGTATCAAGATCTTTGATATAGGATTGACGAGCCGAACACCCATAATCGAGCTTGGAACGAACCAAAGCTCGATATAATCGGAGGAGGACCTTTCGGTCGGCTCCCCAGTCAGTATTGGATAAGACTCTCAGTATGTTGAGAGCTTTCAGACATTTGTTCTTGAGGATTTTAATATGGGGACGAAAAGAAAGCTTGCTATCAAAAGTAAGTCCCAAAAAAAGAGTAGTGAGAGTTGAACCATCTACCTCTAAATGGTTCACAGATATTGTATCCGCTTTACCCTTGATCCCACGAATCCTATCCCAGACTGATTTGGAAGACGTGCGACTGTTGATCCTTGAAACATACTCCTGCCATGACGACCTCTTTGCTTGACGGATAGTCCGCCTGGCTTTCGCCCGTGCAATGCGGAAAGAGGCCATGTTGTCAGCGGTAGGAGAACGTTCAATCAGTCGCAGAGCACGATTACGTTCTTTCAGTGCTGTCTTACAGTCTTCGTTAAACCATGGTTTATTGAATCGTTTTGGAGTTGCCGAGGTTTTACGAATCGCCTGACCCGATACATCTTGTAAGATAGTGGTAAATAATTCCATCGGGTCTTCTGCCTCATCTAGATCATCTTGAGAAAAAGAAGAAATGCAAAGAGCCTCAAAGAGAGGCCAATTAGCTTTGGAGAGTTTCCATCTTTGTGGCCTGTCTACTGGTGAAGGACCATTATTCCGTAGAAGTACATGATAATGATCACTGTGGCAGAGATCGTCGTGGACACTCCAAGAAAAAT